GAGAGACTAACTTGAATTGTAAACTTTCACTTAAAGCACAATTAAAAAAAAAAAAAAAGAAGAAAAAAAGTTGCCCAAGGTCACCAGTAAGTGGTAGAGCCCAGATTCCACTAGGCTACCACACAAAAAACCAAAGGATAGATTCTACCATTCTCTAAAGATGTGCATTTTTCTCCTTTTACTTCTATTTAACAAATGCTCAATGTCTGCTATGGGCCAGGCACCATGCAAGGTGTGGCAGGTGATACAAACAGGAGCAGATTAAATCTCTGCATGAAAAAGCTGACGGGAAAAGTGTTACAAGGACATCTTCTGAGACAAGTCTTCCATCCCAACACCCTGAGCTACAGGTGACACGCAGGGGTAGGGTACTGGCATCGCAGCTATCAACGACAAGCCAAGAAGGAAAGGGGGAAGGGAAGACCAAGGAAAGGTAAAGAAAAGTGATGGATGCAGCCAGTGGGGAATGCAGCTACTCAGGCAAACCAGTCACAGGAATTGCCTATCTTTGATTTAGCTGTAAAGAACCATACCTTAAACTTGCCCTCAAATTGCTTCCTGACTTCTCCACTACCCAGTCTTCAGCCCATCTTCCCCACTGCTTTAAATTCAACAACTGATAGCTAAGAAGCTCCTGCGCATTTTTAAATTCCAAGACGTCGGGGCTACCAAACAAGATACTGCTCCCCAACCCTACGTTTACTCCCAAAAGTGTGACTCCATCGGATGTGCTCTCGGCACCACCCAGGAAAGCTCATTTCAGCAGGATCCAGGGAGTGCCGCTCTAGCTTACTCTGCAGGAAAGTAACGCCTAGGGGGTGGGAAGAAGGGAGACGAGAACCTTGAGCTGAGCTGACCCAGCTTGCTGTCTTCAGACAGAGACAAACATAAGGGAACTTACATGATGGTGAAAGATACCTTTATATGGTTTAAAACGTGAAAAAGTAGTAAAAATGAGAATAGGTGTGTTATCGTGTTCTTAAGTTTTTTGCTCTTTATTCTGTATCTTTCATACTTGTATTAAACAGTAAGCACATGAGCACTGAGGTAGGGTATGAGAACCAGAAACTGATACCAGTGGGCTTTTTCTGTCCTAGCTTTTAAAATACAGAAAAGCAAATAAGATGAATGGTAAAAAGGAAACCAACAAAACATTAATTTTAATCTACTAGACTGAAATCTATGCTAGTGGGTGGAATTAGCACAGTGAAAGGATTTTAGAAAGCCTGCTTCATCAGGCAGAGGGTAAAATGGCTCTGGCTTCTAAGCTACTTCAGACAAAACAGTAATTTTTTAAAACTACTATCTCTATACAGATTCTAATCACTAGAAATTTTCTGAGTGGTAGAAGTTTAGTCCAATACAAACTTTTCCTAATAGTCCTTATGCCTATGTGAAAAAAAAAATTTTACCTAAGGGAAGAAACAGGAATGATGTAATTAAGCTTTGATACAAAGGTTAAGCCTGGCTTCTAGCATTTTAAAGGCTTAACAAATCACCCAAACCAAACCCACTGCCATGGAGTCGATTCCTACTCATAGTGATCCTATAGGACAGAGCACAACCGCCCCATAGGGTTTCCAGAGCTGCAATCTTTATGGAAGCAGACTGCCACATCTCTCTCCTGCAGAGCAACTGGTGGGTTTGAACTGCTGACCTTTCGGTCCGCAGTGGAGCGCTTAACCACTGCGCCACCAGGGCTCCTTATCAAATCACCCACACGTAACAATTTTTTTTCCTCCTTTGCTCTAATCTACGTGTCTATGATGGGTAAAGGAAAAGGTGGCATGTTCATCTCTAAAACATAAAGGAGTAAATTAAGTTTAAAACGGGACTGCGTAAGGCTTCCAGTGCCTGACAGCCAATCCTTCACAGTAATCCTTACTTCCAATCTGTTCTAACTGGAAAGCTGAAGCCATATAGGGTCTCTATGAGTCAGAATCAACTCAGCGGCAATGGGTTTTGGTAGACCACTTAGCATACTGGAGAACTGGTATCACACCCAAACTTCTTACTGCCAAGAAAGACCAACTCAACCTGGCTGTAAGTTGTGGAGAGCATCAGCCAGTGGTCTAATTCCCTGGAGACCCACGAGTAGGAAGGTCTTTGGGGGAACATATACTAATGCTTATAACAGGCAGTGAAACCTCACAGCTGGGCACTACAACAGGAAAGGAACAGCACGCTGATAGCCTTCAGCTAAGAAATAACGAAAACACCACAGAGTGACTCTATGGTAGTTCAGACAGAATGCAGATTCAATAACATACATGAAAAATCTACACAGCCACAAGAAATTCACATAATCCCCAAAAGCTTTGCAATGTCAGTGCAAAATCCTACACCAAAGCTGTTGCCACTGAGTCGATTCTGACTCATAGTGAGCCTATAGGACAAAGCAGAACTGCCCCATAGGGTTTGCAAGGAGCGGCTGGTGGATTTGAACTGCCAACTTTTTGGTTAGCAGCCAAACTCTTAACCGCTGCGCCGTGAGGACAAAATCCTATAGTACAGTAATAGAATACTATGGTACAGTTGAGTACACATCCATCAAAAGCAGACACAGCATCCAGGGAAACACCACGAGCCTTTAAACTCACCTATAAAGATACATGAAGAAGCAGAGCAAGTGAAAGCCGAGCTTGATCATGGCTTCTTTCATGTGTGACTTCAGCTGCCCTCGATTGTGTATTTCTGTTGGATCAAACACTCCCATGTTACCACTTGGCACCATGATGAACCTGGGAAATTAAAGGATACAAACATTAGAATGCAAATCAAATCATCATAAATACTCAAAAATAAACAAGCAATGATAACCATTAGAAGTCAAGCAATCATAACAGTCTTAAATACAGACCACTTACGGACACAGTGGTGATGTCAGGGGCCACCACTTGGTTTTCCTTTGGAAGATACAATACTGTTAATTTTTACCATAATTTTCTGCTCTCTCAAACAAATACTGTAACACTCTAAAGAAGGATTTTTTTATACATTAAGTTCCTTTTTCCTGTCCTCTGTAGGTCATACCTACAGCTCTTTTCCATCAGATATAAGTGAAAGGAGGAGGCTCCAAAACCAAACCAACTTTATCAAGTTTCTAGAAACTTCTTTACCTAAAAAGTTCTAAATTAATTAATGTTATTTCTCCCCTTCACCTGCACAACATCCTTATAAGGAAGGTAGTGTCACACATGATTTTTCCCATTTCACAGACAACAATGAAAAACCAGAGATTCTATGTTCAGAATAGAATCATCATGTTTGGTGCTCCTGCTGATCAACAGATAATCTGTCTTAAACTGCACGGTTCATAAACAGCAATTTAGAGAAGGCAGAACAGAATTATTTAGAATAGATGCTACAGTGGTAAAACAGAACTCCACCTCAGGTAAGTCACTCAAAGAGCAAAGTTTAACTTTATGTAGCTCTCAGAAAAATACACATTAAGTAGAAAATATTATAAAGTAATTATAGAGCACATAAGAAATGGGAGTTTTTATAGTGGTGGAGGTATGACCACAAGTGAGGGAATAGGAACAAGGGTCCAAATCGATGCAGAGGCTCAGGGGCACTGTGAGCATGAGCCTAATTCCAAACCCAGGCCTATTCAACTCAGTTTCCTACCAACTCAGAAAAGACTCAAACTTCTTTTTTTTTTAAGTCTTGAAGGTAGTATTTTTAACATACTGTGGAGTCTTTTGGAAACCCTGGTGGTATAGTGGTTAACAGCTATGGCTGCTAACCAAAAGGTCAGCAGTTCAAATTCACCAGACGCTCCTTGGAAACTATGACACAGTTCTACTCTGTCCTATAGGGTCACTATGAGTTGCAATCGACTCGACAGCAATTGGTTTACGGAGTCTTTTATGCTCTTCAGAAAACATACATTTCTCATCCATCTACTTAATATCACTGTGGTATAGCAGACACATGATAGTCTTCTCCTTCCCAAAACCACTTCTTCTACAAATAAGGAAGCTGGCTTCCTCTAAGACAATGGATGAGTTTCAGTGTCTGGGCTTGAATCCTCACACTGCCGTCCATGTGACAGGTCCCGCCGACTGTGCAGCAGACAAGTTCTAACCTAGCCCTCTGCCTGCTGTCAGACTCTCACTCCCAAGCTTCTAGTCCAATCCTGGGCTCCCCACTCTTGCTACACACTTGGTTTCTCAGTTATCGCTTCTGTGAAATGCAATCGCCTCTCTGAGTTCCACAAAGCATGAATCTTAACTTTTCTCCTAAATCTTAATTGCCCATTTATAGTTGAATCGAGGGTATTTCCATCTGAATATCCAGGTGACATCTCACTTCAAACAGTCTCAGAGAGGCTTACTGTCCTCTCACTCCTGAGTTATCTAACAAGAGAGCCACCATTTTCTCGGTGGTCCTTAAAAATTTCCTCTTCACAACTTGTCATTTCTCTCGTCCTTCACAGGCAGTCCATCGAACCCCCATCTGTCCTTCCTTCCTATCATCACGGACACAGCTGGGTCTTTCTCATTCTCACCAGCACAACCCTGTTTCAACCCTGTATGATCTCACCCCAGTCTCCTAACGGGCTTCCCCACCTCCTGGCTCTTCTCCATCCAATCAATGCTATGCAATGCTTCCAGAAAAATCTTCCCAAAGCATAGTTTATTTCATGTTAACTTAACTGCTCAAAAACACATAGAGCAAAGAAGATATATGAATGGCAAGTAAGCACATGAAAAGACGCTCAACATCATTAGTCATCAGGGAAATACAAACGGAAACCACAATGACATACTAATTTACACCCACTAAACCAAAAACCCATTACTGCAGAGGCAACTCCAAGGGTGTAGAGGAGAACTGAGCCCCATAAGGTTTTCAAGGCTGTGACTTTTTGGAAGCAGACTGCCAGGCCTTTCTTCTGAGGCACCTCAGTGCTTAACCATTTGCACCACCCAGGGACAATTCGAATACATCAATTCTTCTTCTGTCTTCCTTTTTCACTGTCCAGCTTTCGCATGCATATGAGACTGAAAAGACCATGGCTTGGGTCAGGCACACCTTAGTCATCAAAGTGACATTTTTACTTTTGAAGCGGTCTTTTGCAGCAGATCTGCCCAATGCAATATGTCATTTGATTTCTTGACTACTACTTCCATGGACATTGATTGTTAATCCAAGTAGAATGAAACTGTTGACAACTTTAATTTTTTTCTCCATTTATAATGATGTTGTTGATCAGTCCACTTGTGAGTATTTTCATCTTCTTCTTGTTCAGGTGTGATCCATATTGAAGGTTGGAGTCTTTGACTTTCATCAGTAAGTGCTTCAAGCCTTCTTTACTTTCGGCAAGCAAGGATGTGTCCTCTACATATCACAGGTTGTTAATAATGAGTCTTCCTCCAAACCTGATGCCGTAATTTTCTTCATATGTCCAGCTTCGTGGATTATTTTTTCAGCATACAGATTGAATAAGTAAAGTGAAAGAATATGGATTATTTGTTCAGCATACAGATTGAATAAGTGAAAGAATATAACCCCGCTGCACACCTTCTCCAATTTTAATCCACATGGTATCCCCTCATTCTATTCAAATGACTGCCTCTTGATCCATGTATAGGTTCCACATGAGCACAATTTAGTGTTCTGGAATTCTCATTCTTCATCATGTACAAGACCTTCCCTAGTTCATGCTCTAGTTTCATGATCTTTATAAAACATTCCTCCAAATCCACTCACTCCCTCATCTCTACTGCCTTCCATGACCTTTTCATGCGATTCCTCTCCATCTCCCATCCCTCCTTTATCCTTTTCTGTGTGCTTTTAGTCTAACTGCAGGAGCCCTGGTGGCAGAGTGGTTAAAGAGCTCGGCTGCTAACCAAAAGGTCAGCAGTTCGAATCTACCAGCTGCTCCTTGGAAACCCTATGGGGCGGTTCTACTCTGTCCTATGGGGTCGCTATGAGTCAGAATCAACTCAATGGCAACAGGTTTGTTTTGTTTTGTTAGTCTAACTATACTTTTAAAAATCACATTTAAAAATCAGTCAATGAACGTAAAAATTGTTGAAATGATGTACGTTCTGCTATGTATATTCTTGACAACAACAAAAATACTAAAAAAAAGATTGTATATTAAAAAGGCTACATTTGAACAAACTTCCTAAGGTTATTAAGTCAAAATTTTGATACGTTATCTAATTTTCTGGCTTTTAAATATCATTTGCTTTGGAGCAATCCAAGCACACGCTGGTTAAAAACTGCATATATAAATAACAAGGACCTTATATCATATTCTCAGGCTTCTGACCACCCTTAAAGGAAAAAGATATTCAAAACTAAATGAAAAAGCATTTCCTGAGTTTTCAACATTAAAACTAAACATTATATATTTTTTAAATTTACACATGTAAATTCATGTTTTTACTATAAGATAGTGCCATGCAAATTGCCACTCGCCCTACATACCAAAGTGAACAAAAGTGTATGCTGATTTAACCATTTACTTTATTACTGGCACATATTTTAGTGGAGAAGAGAAGGTTGTTTTTTAAAAAAAAAAAAAAAACCTGCCCTGACATTAAACAATAAACAACTATAGCCCATTGCTTTCGAGTTGATTCCAACTCATAGCGACCCTATAGGGTAGAGTAGAACTGCCCCATAGGGTTGCCCCCTAGGCTGCAATCTATGGGAGCAACTGCCACATCTTTCTCCCGTGGAGCAGCTGGTGGGTTCGAACCGCTGACCTTTCAGTTAGCTGCCAAGTGCTTAACCACTGCAACATCAGGACTCCCAGACAAACAACTATACTCACCGATATATATTCCAAGTAGCAACAGGCAAGTTGAGAAGAAAGATGAACCAGTGCAATGAAATGAGCATTAATACAGTGACAATGGTATGGCCGATCAATTCTGGAATTACCCACTGCAAGAGAAGAACATACCATTACATCACCACTGTTGTGTCCTTCCTGGACTGTACATGTTATTTGAAGCTAAATCAATGGCTATACAGAGCCCTTACAAGCTACTATTTCAAGATTATTTTTAGAATCAGATGCCCCAGACTTACATACTGCTTACCCCATGCAAATACATCAGGGCACAGCTTAAAAATAAAGCACTTAAATTTCAATTAAATTTTATCCCAAGTAAAGGTTTAGATTCACTAAGCAGGTTTTCTGAATGACAACTAGCGAAGAAAAAAAAAAATGCCTATCTTGTTTACTTTCTATTCCAATAAAAAGCCTCTTACTTTAATTTGGGCTAGTTGATATCCACAGATATGCTGCCTTTCAAGTCAGAATATCAACCTTAAACATTTTCCAATCTCCAGAATCCTTAAGAGGAAAATCATTTCACACTCAGAAAAGAAAGGGGGGGGGGGGTTTACAAGCTTACACTAACAGCTCAAAGTTGACCAAATATGGTAATGAACCAGGATGCCAGACTCCTAATCTGCTGGTTTTGTAGCATCCCATGCTTTCATCTATGCTCCCTCTGTTCACCATGTCATCTTCTGTTCTCATGCATCAACAGCTACTGCGCCAGAGTTCTCCGAACAAGTATATCCACTCCTCACTCATCAACGTGGTCAAGTTCCAAAGACCAGGTCCTTATGTGAAAGTTGGTGTTACACAAAAATGAAGTTAAAAGGCAGAGCCCAGCACTGCACCACACCTGGTGATCAAGCAGATCATTAAGCCCCCGTGTAAGGCAGCATTCCGCTAGGGAGAGGCTCACAACTGGACTAACAGGGCCCAGCTACAGGCCTCCCATCAGTCCTCCACCTGGGAGATGCTATTGCTGAGCCTGCACACTGTCTCAGCGTTCGTTACTGCCAGACATATGTCGTTAATGCGCAAAATAGCCTGACAGTAGATTTTTCACTACTGTTGTGAGTATGAAATGTCTGATAATGTGAGAGTCGGTAACTGAGGAGTAGGTGTACAAATTTTTCTTTCAACAGAAGCTAATAGCTAATATTCACTGAACCAGAAACGGGCACTCTCCACTTTCAAACATGAGGAAATAAAATTTAGAGAGGTTAAGTAACTTGTCCACGGTCACACAGCTACTCAGTGGCTCTCAGGGCAATATACTGCAAACCCAGGTAGACTGCCCCCAGGTCTCCTGCATTTAGATATACGTTTGTAAACAAAGAAGTAGAGATTTTTCTGGGTCTTAAACCTAATTTGCAATCAATTGGGGCTTTCCAACATGTAACATACATTTTAAAGAGTATAATGAATTGAGCATAATGCTTACAAGTGTGACTTGCAAAGTCTAACAAACCTGGAATGGAATCTATGCTATGTTTTTATTAACTATGCAGTCTTGGCAAGAGTTAACTATCCTCTTTAAGCCACAATTTTCTCATCCACAACGTGGAGATAATAATAATACCTACACAGTTTGGGATGAAATAACATATTTAAGCCACAGACAGTACAGGTACTCAATAAATGTTACTGTATTACTCTCTATGCTATCAGATCCCTACAGCAGCTTTCAGGCTTTTCATTTCTTACTGTTTTACACAGACACACACCTGAAACAAAAGTTTCAGGGAGCAATACGTAACCTTACAAGGCACGGTTTACTGACTTTTAACCAAATCCCCTGTTTTTAGTCTCTTCTCTCCGTAATCAGGTACCCTTCCCCTAACTCGTTCCTAGAACGCTGGCACTAGGTTTCCATCTCCCAGGTGAAGCTTGGAGGATTCTCTTCTGGAGTAACTTAACGGTCCAAGAGAAAACATCTACCAAAAAACCCTGCCATTTCAGGTACCCCAACAAAAGTCCATGTAGACACCAATTACCCTACAATGAAGTCAGTCAACGGGCCCAGCCCACCCACACAGAGCCTCCAATAAGGATTTTAGTGCTTCACCCTTAAATATGAATAGACCATCATGTATCGGACATTTGAGGAAAGCCTCCATCCAACATGAAAGAAAGAGGGGAAACTAGAAAGGAACTTAGAGGAAATACAGATAATGTAAGAAGCAGAAGAAAAATTCTCAAGTACTATAATCAGTATTCTCAGAGACCTAAGAGAGAAGAGAATCAAACATGAACCAAAAGAGCAAAAGTTCTGTGAAATTTAAGCTATAGCATAAATGATATATTTACTAAAAAATCCAAAAGATAAAGCTGAAGAAATCTTAAAACAATCAAGGCAGAAAATAAAACCAAAGGAATGAAAATAAGAAAAAAGAAGAACTGGCAGATGAATCCAGCAGATCAATTATCCAGTTAATGGGAGTTGTAGAAAGAGAGGAGAGAAAACAGATTTTGTCCAAAAAAAAAAAAGAATACAAGAAAATTTCCTAGATTGAAAGAGTCTATCAGATGTACAAAACAGTAAATGAACAAAGCCTAAATAAAGGTACACAAAGGTACACCACTGCAAAATGCCAAAATGCCAAGGACAAAGAAAAGACTCTAAACCTTCCATAGAGAGGACAGGACCGGGAAAAAAAAAAAAAATCACATAAAAAGGATAAGAAATCAAGATGGCATCAGGTCAGAAGACACCAAAGCAATGTCTTTGAAATTCTGAAAGAAAAATCTTTTTCAACCTAGAACGCTGTACACCGACAAACTACCAATCAAGGGTTTAAGGGTAAGACATCTTCAGACATGTGGGGCCTCAAAATTTAATTCCCAAGTACCCTATCTCAAGAAGTTACTCCAGCAAAATGAGCTAGTAAGCCAAAAAAAGGAAAATATGAGATCCAAGAATCAGGAAATCCAGAACAAGAGTCCCAGGATGAAAGCCATGCATGACTCAGGCCCAGAGAGCAGATGGTGCAGAGTACAGCAAGGGCGTGGAGGTCTCGAGGAGAAATGTCACCTGGGGAAAAACTAATCGATTATTTTATGTTTGACCATGTAGAAAAGCGTAACTGAAGGCCTTTACAGATGTACTTGAAAAGACTTAGAAACGGGTAAATAGAAAACTAAGGAAATAAAGGAATGTGGCGATTATCAACACTGAGAAAGACAAAGCTACCAAAAAAAAAAGAGAGAAAAATATAATCACTGCCTACTATGAAGCTCAGCAATAAAAAAAATTTATGTTATTATAATGCTACATCATAATGATATAAACATTGAATACAAATTTAGCCAAAAAAGGAACATGAAAAAATAGGAGAGAGGATGTTTAGAGAAGGGGGTACTTGCATATAGGATTTAAAGGGTCAGGAAGGGACCCCATAAGCTTTATAGTACCTTTGACTTCAGCTGTGTGCAAGGATAACTTTCATAAAACTAAAAATTAACATTAAAAAACTACTTAGCTTCAAATCCAAGGAGTAACTTACTCAACAAAAGAATCTAGGTAACTCTTTCTTTGTATTTAGATTTTTACTTTTATAAAAGAAAACCCACAAAATACTTCAAATAGTGAGTAAACAAGAAACATAAAGCGATACAGATGATCTGCCTGATTTTTTTTTTTTTTAAATCTATCATTCTTCTTGGACGAGGAGAAACATAGTTTACTAGAAATTTTAACTTTCCAAGTGTAACTTCATTTCTCTCATGGGCCAGAGAAACTTAAGTAGACTGAAGATGTTAAAAGACACAGGGACATCATTTTTGGTCAAGTCAAAATCACCTCTCAGTACTGTATTTTTTTTATGAACCTTCATCCAGAAAGTTTTTCTGTCTGCTCATCTCGTAAAGTGAATCAGGACCAATTGGTTTCCGCGTATCTAGACAATCACTGCAGTTGAGAGTACTCCTGCCAATATAAAGTTCCAACTATACTAAAGGTAAAATTGCCCTAAAACAAATCAGCCAATTAATATCATTTCTCAGCAAGCCACACAGAGGTCTTCTTTCATTCAGTAAAAGACAGACTGAGCTTTTTTTCCATGAGTGTGGAGGAGGGGGTTTGGACACAGAAGACAAACCGATTAACCCTCATAATGAACCTCTGCCTGGCCTGAGTAATGATGTCAAGGGGACAAGGAAGAGGCAGAGTAAAGAAACAAAATTTCCAAGTCACAGATTCTAGCATGAAAAGAAATCCTAGTATGATTTCACTGCAAAACAGAGTAGCTTTATTAACATTCCAATGAATAAGAGACAACATGCACTCTAAAATCAAATATACATATATTGAGTAGCTATAATCTTTAAAACAGAGAGCTGACTTCAGTACCAGAAAATGAGCAAAAAAAAAAGTCTTACCTTGTTTAATTTCGAGCAACATGATCTAGCATTAATGTAATCACATTCTAAATCAGACAATGTAATTATCTGAGGATCAAGATAAGGAAATATTAGTTTTATAACAACTAAATAATTTTTTAAGTTTCAGAAAGCAACTGGGGATAATCCTTTAAAGTTCACTCGATTTTCTCATTTATGTTCTTCTCAACAAATGATTTTCACAAAACAATCCTTTTATTATGCTCAGTTCCAATCTAATCCATATCCATCTGATTCAAATGTGTAGGATGGCTATAAGAAACAAAATAACACCTATAAAAATAGTTTAAATGTGAAAAGCCTGAATTCCCAGTAGTAGAAAGACTATGTGTTTACGATACAGCCATAAAGTCTCTGAAGACTTAGGATGTGAACAAAGAAAACAGGATACAAAACTACAGAGCACAGTCACAGGCTGGTGGTGGTTATGTCCCAAAAGTCAGATTACAAATTTTTTTTCTTAATACTTTTCTATATTTTTCAAACTTTCCACAGTAAACACATTAAACTGGAATCAGGTCAAAAGTAATTTTTAGTAGGAAATATAAACCCATAAATAATAATTTAAGGGAGGCAGATGGCTATAAAATGAAAAGTAAAAGTCTTCAACTGCACGATACAAAGTCTGGGATTTACTTTAAAATTTCTCCCCCCACCCCCTGCCCCCATCACCACCACCCTAAGTAGTTGGAGGAGAGAGAAAAAATCATGGCAAAATGTTGACAATCACTGAGGTGAGATATGGAAACATGGCGTTTATTGCACTACTCTGCTTTTATGTTTGAAAATGTCCATTAAAAACAGTAAAAGGAAGTACTTTCAACTAAACATTACCGTATTGATATCCCGTCATCACCTCAACACATCTAAAATGAAATGTATCACTTTCCCCACAAAAGTGCTCCTCCTCCAATCTGTTTTTATTTTTGTCAACAACCTTTTAGGCTCAAAATATGGAAAGCTTCTCTGCTTTCTGTGTCTTATCACATAATTACTCATTACAAGGGCCTATCAATCATTTCTTAACATCACACACCTTAACCCCTGCTTTCACTTGCCCAGTTCGCACTGTTTCAAATCCAGATGAACCTATACCCTAAACAGCTTATCTTCCAGTCTTTCCTGTGTTCAACCCACGCTGCAGATTCACCTTCCTAATATACCCCTTTGTTTATGACAAAATGTTTCAATGGCTCCCTACTGCCTAGAGGAAAAAAGTGAAAGCCTTCCACTAAACATTCAAGTTTACCAAAATGTGATCTAATTCTACCTTTAATTCTGCCTTTCTGACATGACTTTCTAAGACTGCCAAAATCAAACATGTGCTCCAGATGGTCTATTCATTAACCCTAGCGCCTATAAATGCCACGAACATTCTGGCTCTGCACCTTTGCTCTTGCCAGTGTCTGTATAGCCACCCCTCTCCTCCTCTATAAGCTTTGCTCATGGTTCAAAGTCCAAGAAAACTCCTATACCTTGCATAAAGTTTACCCTGACCATTTTCCACCTGTTATCTCTAATACTAAACTAGTACAACTATCCTACAATACAGTAATGCAATGTGCGGAATTTCATCAAAACACATCCTGAATGTATCTTAATGTCTATCTACATCTAATATTCCACCTAACACTTTTCCACATACATAAACTGGCAGAAGCCAAAGCTATTTTAAATTATCAGGCCTAGTTTGCCAAACTGCAAAAAAATACAAAAATGAAAAAAAAAGGAGAAATCCAGTTTTATTTCTGAGTGTAAGCTCCAGTTCTTCAGAGAGAGTCAGGGGTCATTAAAACTGAGGCCAAGGGATGGCTGGCCTTTCAGTCGGTTCCCAGAACCAAATAAAACTCAGTGTTCTTCTCATCAGAAATCATCAGCCGAAGTAAAAACTGCAGCTGCAGTATTTACTGGACATTTGCTACGGCGTAGCCTCTGTGCTAGGAGCTTAACGCATGCTCTCCTTGTAAACACACATACCTGGGAAGTAAACATTTCCTCTTATTTTAAAGATAAGAAAACTGAGGCTGAAAGGTGAAGTAATGTGTATTGCAAATAACTAGCTGAGCAGGTAATCCAGTTTCCAAATTTTGTCCCTTTCCACTACAATAAAGTCCACAATAAAGTATGAAAATACGCTGAAAAAATATTCTGAACTAACCTAAAACCAGCATGCTCTGGCAAATACAAAAGTTTAATTCGGTCAGAAAGGGGTACATGTGATCATTTTAAAAGTTGGGAAACTACTGGAAACGAAAACACGTGTACAGCTACCGAATTCCCAGATCTGCAACTGCCAGAGGAAACCAAACAACCACTCGCAAATGTTTTTTTTTAAATAAAGCCTTCCCCAAACTTCCTACAAAACGGCATCGCCAAGGAAGCACTTCAGGGTCCCCGCAAGTACCAACGCCCGCCAGAACAAAGGCGGCGGGGGTGCTGCCCGGAGAATGACAAGAGGCGGCAAATCGCCTCTACTAGTCCCTGTGCCCGACTGTCCGCGAGCGACCGCCACCGGGACGTGGGCAGGCGTTCCCAGGAGCCCTGGCATCCGACAAAGGGCCCGGCGAGGGGGCTGTCGACGGAAAATCGTGCCCCTTCTCTCCAGAGGGCGACAGGGAGGCCAGGAGCCGCCCTTGCCCGGGACAGAGTTGCGCCAGGGCGTCGTGGGGGCCTATGCGGAGGAAGGCCCGCTAGGACCCCGGGTGAAGGGCGGCCGGCACCCGGGCAGGGCCGGGCAAGGCCGGGCCGAGTCCTGCAGCCGCGGGGCTCCCAGCCTGGGCTCGCCCCACACGTCCCGGCGGCCTGCGCCGCCACCTCGGCTGGGTCAGCACCCAGGGGACCCGCGCCCACCGCCAGGAGCCTCCCTCGCGCCCACCGCCAGGAGCCTCCCTCGCACCCACACACCTGCCCGGTCACCACCCGGGCCCACCCTCAGCCCGCTCCCGCGGGGGGCAGGCCCCAGGCCGGCCTACACTCGCTTCCGCCTGCCTCAGGCAAGGATACGAAGTAGACGGAAAGGAATATGAGCGCACAACAATCCAGGAGAGAGAAAACGAACACCACCGCCTCCATCCTCCTCCGCCGCTGCCGCCGCCACCGCCGCCGCACCGCCGCTCCTTCCGTCAGACCGCCTGCGGTGCCTCTATCCGCCCCGCCCCTGGTATCTCCTTGTCCCAGCGGCTGGGGCGTGTAGTCTAGCCCGCCGGGGCGCGGCATGCCGGGAGTTGTAGTCGAATTTTTTGAAATCTATGGTCATAATCCTAATGCATGCTGGGAAATGTAGTTTTAGTATGAATCCATATCAAAAAGGTAGGCAGGGCTTCTGCCCTAAATATGATTCTTTCCAGAAACTGTGACAAGCAATTAGTTAATCGATATTTGCTGAATGCTTGTAATCTGCTGGATATGCAGTAGAATGGATTTGCCATGTGTGAAATTATCGTCTGCCCTTCGCCCTCTGCATCCCTGACCCAATTGGGAGTAAGGGATTTTCACCTCAAAACACAAATCTAACTTCAACACTCCTGGCTTGACACTTGAGATATGCACTTCCTGATCTCAACTGCTCCAGAGTTCTCACACTCCCTTGCTTATCCTCTGTTACAGAAATTTCTCTCCCCTTTGGATTTTAAGATTAAAAACTGAATACTTTGTCTTTTCATCTCTTCATTTACTTAACAAATATTTGCTGACACCACCCCTACTATATGCCAAGAACTGCTTTAGACTCTGGAGATACAGAAAGGAACAAGGCAGACAAGATCCCTGCTCTCCTGGAGTGGGTAGGAGGAACAGGCAAAAAAGTAGCAGATAAATACATGAAAAAGGTAATTTTAAAGGATAATAACAGCTATGAGGAAGTTATATCAAAGTCATTCATTCATTCATTCAACCATTTAGCAGCTAGTATATGCCAGATACTGTTCTAGACTTATGGATACAGAATGAACAAGAGAAAAAAAGTTTCAACATTCCTGTAGTTTCCGTTACAGGGAGATGGACAACAGAGAAGCAAATCTGTGTCAGGCAGTTATGCGTACTTTGAAGGGTATGGGGAAACATTTTGTAGACTGAGAGATCAGAGAAGGCCATGCTTTCATTTAAAGTGAACTTTGAATAGCTGTGTGAAGACTTGCAGGCAAAGCATTCCAGACAATAGGAACTGTGATTGCAAAGGCCCTATGGCAAGTACAAGCTTGATCTGTTTAAGGAAAACAAAAAGGTCAATGTAGCTAAAGCACAATGAATAAGGGTGAGTTTTAAGAAAGGGTCAGACATGGGCAGGGCAAGGTCACATGGGCCTTACAGTCCCCTCATAAAGAATTTAACTTTTATTCTAATAAGGTGAGAAATCATTTGAGAGTTTTAATTATGGAAGTGCCTTGATCTGATTTACATTTTTTAAATATCTTTCTGGATTTGTGGTGCATTGAATGTATGAAAGGAGGACACATTTATCAGCAGAGAGACACCTAAGAGAAAAGAGGATGGATAGTGGAATTAGTATAAAGGCAAAACCCACTGGATTTGCATGATACAGCATAGGTTCATAGGTTCACGAAGGGTTCATAAGTTAAAAGCTAGGCGTTCTGTTCACAGATCATTTATAAACTAGCTATCGCTACATTCCCACTGCACCTTGGACAGACCTCTTTCAGAGCATTTATCACATTCACCGCTGTCTTAGTCATCTAGTGCTGCCATAACAGAAATACCACAAGTGGATGGTTTTAACAAAGAGAAGTTTATTTCCTTACAGTAAAGTAGGCTGAAAGTCCAAATTCAAGGTGTCAGCTCCAGGGGAAGGCTTTCAGTCTCTCGGCCTTCTCATCAGTGTTCCCCCAGGCTAGGAGCTTCTTGGCACAGGGACCCCAGTCCAAAGGATGCGCTCTGCTCCGGGCACTGCTTTCTTGATGGTATGAGGTGACCCCCGCCCCCCCCCCACTGCTCACTTCTGTCTTTTATATCTCAAGAGATTGCCTCAGGACACAAACCAGTCTTGTGGATCAGGTCCTGCCTTACTAACGCAACTGCCACCCATCCTCCCTCATTAACATCATAGAGGCAGATTTACAACATACAGGAAAATCACACAGAACCAGGAATCATGGCCTAGCCAAATTGATACACACATTTTTGGGGAGACATAATTCAAACCATGACAAACTTCTTTCCGCACATGCCTAGCCAGCCACGCCTTAGATTATGAGGCAGGTAACACACTTTATTAATTTGTGTATCCCCAGTATTTTCTATCCTGTAAATAGGTGGTACTTAATAAGTGTTTGCTGAATAACCCATACTCACTATCAGGAGAATAGTTTCCAGATTTTATTAAAAGCATTAATCTCATCTTGCACACATTCCTCCTGAGCTGGAAATGAAAACACAGGCTATTCTATATTCTTTATCTGCTGTTTTATCCTTTATATGCTGTTTACCAATCGTAATTATTAAATTACCAATTCTACTTAAGATAGCCTTTGTCTCTTACTCTGTTTGAAAACTCAAAACATGGCGGCAATATCAAAACAATGGGGAATGCAAAATTTGGGAGAACGAAATGATCAGGATAAAAAAACAGTAAGTGAGAGTGTGTGACCAAGAATTTTTATCTAAAAGTACATTATTATATTTATAAGTACAGATTAAACTGGCTCCTCACCTGCTGGAGGACCTTCTTCAGTAGATTCCAAAGAAAAGATGTTGTTGTTGTTACTTGCCATTGTACGACCCCATGTGTGCAGAGTAGAACTGCTCCATAGGGGTTTCAAGGCTGTGACCTTTCCAAAGCAGATGGGCAGGGCTGTCTCTGGAGGCGCCTCTGGGTAGGTTTGAACTACCAACCTTTCCCTCTAGTAGTCAAGTGCTTAACTGTTTGCACCACACACCACACAAGGACCAGAGAAAAGATACTAGAACATATCCTAGTATCTTAGTTATCTCTTGCTGCTATAACAGAAATACCAGAAGTGGATGGCTTTAGCAAACAGAAATTTATTCTCTCACAATTTAGGTGGCTAAAGGTCCAAATTCAGGGTGCCAGCTACCAGGGAAAGCTTTCTGTCTCCGTCGGTTCTGGGGGAAGGTCCTTGTCATCAATCTTCCCTGGTCTAGGAGCTTCTCAGAGGAGGGATCCCGGGCCCAAAGGATGCCTTCTGCTCCTGGAGCTTCTTTCTTCGTGGCATGAGGTCCCTCTCCTCTCTGCTGGATTCTCTCTTTTATATTTCAAAAGAGATTGACTCGAGATACAACCTGATCCTGTAGATTGAGTCCTGCCTCATTAACATAATTGCTTCTAATCTTGCCTCACTGACATCATAAAACCCGTTGCCGTTGAGTCAATTCCAACTCATAGCGACCCTACAGGACAGAGTAAAACTGCGCCATAGGGTTTTCCAAGGAGCGGCTGGTAGATTTGAACTGCCAACCTTTTGGTTAGCAGCCGTAACTCTTAACTACCCACCGGTTAGGATTTACAACACAGGATAATCACATCAGATCACAAAATAGTGGATAACCACACAATACTGGGAATCATGGCCTAGCCAAGTTGACACACATTTTTGGGGGACGCAAGTCAATCCATTACTCCTAGCATATTTGAGATTAGCTTCATTCTACCTCTACGCTGACTGATAGTTTGAATGGTATCAAATTGTAAGTTGATAATTATTTTCCAGAAGAATTTTGACAGCATTGCTCCATTGTCCTCTAGCTTCTAGTATTGCACAAGTTGAGAAGTCTATGCCTTTCTAAAATTCTTGATCCTATGAATGTATCCTGCCTGTTCTGCCTGGAAGATTAAGAATCTTCTCTTTATCATGGGATGTCATAGTAACATGCCTTGGGGTGGCCCTTCTTTCCTTCATTGTGCTAAGCACTCAGTGGGTTTTTCAATATGGAAGCTTGTACTATGGGCATGTTATCAGGAGGGACCAGTCCCTGAAGAAGAACATCATGCTTGTTAAGGTAGAGGGCCAGCAAAAAGAGGAAGACCCTCAATGAGATGGACTGACACAATGGCTGAAATAATGGACTCAAACATAGCAACGATTGTGAGGATGGCACAGGACTGGGCAGTGTTTTGCTCTGTGGTACATGGGGTCACTATGAGTCAGAGCCAACTCAATGGCACCTAACAACAAGTCTGTTCGTATGTTTAAAAAAAAAAAAACAATAAACCAGTGATTGGGAGCTCAGTGTGAGTGGACAAGACTGGTCATTTCGGGGATTTCACTGTGTGTTGATCACTGTGATCAGTGGTGACCTAGACATTGGTTGCCACCAACCACCACCCCCCCGCCATGTAAATCTTTTCAATTACCCCAAAAAAGATTCCAACCTCTCGCCTGTAAGAGTAGAAACCAGGCTGCCAGCATTCTGAGAGCCAAATGGGGAAACAGGGCTGGGTTTCATGTTTGAAAACTTTCACTTAATTTTCCTATTTTCATTGCTGTGCCTTGTTTCTGTTCTCTGTTCTGTTCTCTGTCTGGTGTCCCAGAGTCTGCAACATCTCTAGTTCAATTTCTCTAGCATTTACACCTCCTACCTCTGCTACAGTAGGGGAGAAGATCTTAGGGTAACCTGATAAGGGTAACCAATCTGTCTTTCTCAGCTCGATTTCTGAACCCAACTGTCCAAGATAACAGATACCTCCAATCATGAATTTGTTGGAGTTCTAAAGCGTTCTTATGACTTACTTTGTACTGACATTTATATTTCCTTTTTCTCTCTTCTGAAGGTCAATTCCCCACTCATACTTTTGTGTTAAAACTTTCTTTTACAATTTTTATTGTGAAATACATCACGCATGCAAAGGAGAACACAAAATGTAAATACACCATTTAAAGAATAATATTAAAATGTACTCCAATATGCCAACACCCAGGCAAACAGATACAACATTGCCAGTTTTTAGAAGACCCCTGAATTATACTCTCTTCTCCCTCCTGCCTCTACAAATCTTGAATTTTGTGTAAATTATTTCCTTGCCTATGGTTTAGTTTTGTCAAATATATAGCTATCTCTAAACAGTATGTTTTAGTTTTGCTGGTTTTGAACACCGTATAAATATTT